CCCTTTAAAATTCAGAGACCCATCCCCTGGGGAATTTGGGGATGCCACCATCTCATGTGCCTCTGTCACTGCAGCTGGCACTTTAGTTCCACAGTGGAGATGCTCTGCAGTGTCTTCCCTCATGGGGTAACTGTGCTGTCTTGTCCAGTGAAGGTGCACAGTGGCTGCTCATGACGACAAGATTGCGGTGGGGCCCCAGTGCAGAGTGTGGGTTTTATTGCCCATGTGTTACCTCCATGCTAGGTGCTTCCTGCTCCACAGATAGGCCCTTCATTAGACATTTCCAACTACTGATTCTTCACCAAATGTTTGGCACAGATAAGAGTCATCCTTTACCTCATCCCACTTTCTCTGTAGCTTAGGAATAAGAAGACATGGAAGCTGGAATGGAAGAGACACTTAGGTGTTTGGAGAAGAGGACAGGCTCATCTCCTCAATAGCACTGTGGCCTTAGACAAATTCTGGGGAGTGAATACTAGCTGTTGACTGGGAAGTCTCCTTTTTTCCCCATTTACACAGCTGACATGGTGTGTGCCAGTGCTCAGAAGCTGGGTTTTTGATCCCAAACCAGCGCCAACACACTTTGGGGGGGGGGGGCTTTTTTCCCCATCCTTTTGTTTAATGACTTAAAGTTTTAAATAATTGGATTTCTCTCCTCGTTTAGTTTTCTAGAAGGCAGAAAAGAGAATTGTACTTATTGTCGTGGGTTTGGTTATAGTTGGGATGAGAAAAGGGAACAGAAGTTAGGGCGGGCTTTTCTCACCCTTTAAATTATTTCTGCTTCATTGTTTTTTCATAGCACTTATGACCTTTGAAGGTCCTATATATTTTACTTATTTGTTTTGATTTTATACCTGTGTATCCCACCAGAATATGTTCTCCATGAAGACAGAATTTTTTTTTCTGTTTACAGCTGCTATTATTTGTACATCTAAACCTGTGCCTGGTACCCTGTGAGTGCCCAAGAAGTACTTGGTGATTGAATTAATTAATCTTCTCTCTAGAAGCACTATTCTACCCGACTCCAGAGTCCCCAGATTTGTTCCAGACACTGAAGGGCAGAAGTTGAGATGTAGGACCAGCGGTTTTCAAAATAAAAACCTTAGAAACTGCCATAGTAATTCAGACTGTGGAAATGCTTTGATGGGGAGAATGTGATGGCAGGGCCGGCTGTTTTTCTTGACATCTGCCTGAAATATTGGGGATCATTCATTCATTCATTCATTCATTCAACCAGACAGGTAGAGAGTCAATCTTTTACCAGTAATAAGCTCTGGGGATAAAAAGCTGAACAGGACATGTAGGTTCATACCCTCATAAATCTTCTCATTCATAACTAGATCAACGTTTTGGGGGGAAAATTGTTTATCTTTTCAGCTTGTTCCATCCCTGTGAAGAAGCATCCCTCAGTTTTACCACTTGTTTTACAATATAATTTTGCAGCCAGAGCCTTGAGTGAGTTCCTCAGGCCTGAGCAATGAGGTTGAGCTTCTTGTCAGAGCCATGGTGACGTCTTCAGGCCTGCGCAATGGGGTTGAGCTTCTTGTCAGAACTGGTCCCTGCTGCTGTTTGTGGTTCACTATGTCAAAGTCATGTGCTCCTTTCATTACAGGGAAATTCTTTTATTGGAGTCAATGATACTGGATGAATCTGAGAGAAAGACCCAGTAAGGCTTAAAGTGGTGGTTAAAAAAAATAGAAAATATCAGACTTGGAAAGCGCTTCCTGTTTTTTCTGCTGCCCACTTTCATCTCTTCTCTGATAATGGGTTTAGCAGTGAGTGTATCACTAACACCTTGGACTGTATCAATATCTGCCACCATTACTTCCTAGAGAATGGAGGGAGAGGTCAGGAACTTAGTGACTTTTCATGTATGATTTAGCATGAAAAGAACTAAGAATGTTGGTCTATTGTAAACTCAGAGTGAATCAATATTAGGATGAGGTGATTTGAGGGGAAACAATTGTGTCCAATGTGATGCTGGTGATGGTCCCCTCACCTGGGCAGATGTGGCAACCCCTGGGAGCCCATGCTTGTGGAAATATAGAGTAGGCAGGAATATACTCAGGTGAGGGCACTCAAAACTGCTTCACAAGGAAGAACGGTTAAAAGAACTGGAGATGTCTATTTTAGAGAAGACTCAGAAGGACCATAAGCACTGTCTTCAAATGATGGAATGGCTCTTTGTATGGGAGAAGCATCAGACCATTTTGGAGCTTGAGGTCCTGGATTGAGAATGACTGGGTGGAAGGACTTCCTATAGTAGGGGGTCCTCAAAGATGCTGCCTGGGGTGCTGCCTGTGAGCCTCGCCGCCTCATCCTTGGGATGAGTGTGATGAGCTCAGATAACTATTGAAGCCAGCCTAGTCGGGCAACTAGACATGCTGATGAGGTAGAAGAAAATGGGAGCTTTAATTTGGGACCATCTTCTATGACTTTATTTTTTTGCTCTCTTTAAGATATGTTCCTATACCTATTGACCCACCAGTTCAAACTTTGGGAGGCTGTATTATAAAAATAAAGATACAAGTATTTAATGATAGATGCACACTTATACTACAATCTTATAAATACATATCCTTGTGCATATGTCCTTTTACAAATATGTAAATATACATTTATTCTCTTATAAATATGTGTGTGTATATATTTTTTGAATTACAAAAACATGGAAATAACCTGAATGATGATAAAAGAGAAGAATGGAGGTAGTGGAGTAAGTTCTGGTTTATTCATGGTATGAATTATTACACAGTTAGTATAGGTCTTAATCTATCATCCTGGAGGGGTGGGCAGAAGATAGAATTAAGTGAGAAAAGCAAGGGAAACATCTATAGTATGATCTTGTTTTGTGCGACTAAATTATAAAAAGAATTCTCACATATGTAATCACATTGGCATGTATTTGGATGAGGATGTAAAAGATGAAGCTGCTCACGGTGGTAGAGAGTTTGAGGTGGAGTGGGGCCCTCATGTACAGAAGGGGGGGGAATAGAGACAAAGTGAAGGAAAGTGGAAGGGCACGGTCTCGCTCGCTCTCATCTGTCATCTTCAGTGGTTGTGCTTATAATTTTGAGGACTTTAATGAAGGGAAGGAGGGAAAAACTTATGTTAATTCTCGTTTTTGCTCTGTTGTTCTCTTAAACTCTCAGTCTCTCTAGTAGGACAATCCTTGGGTTTTATAATAAAATACTCACTAGTTTTAATGCTTTAAAGGTGATGGTTTAAACAATTTTAAAGAAATCCGGGGAATGTGTAAAGATAAAATATTGTGAGGCAAAAATGAATTTTTAGGTGTCATGAAAGAAGAATCACTTGTATATTTCTTCGTGTTTTGTTGCTGTATAGGAAATGTCTGTTTTCTCCTAATGTTCCAGAAAAACGTTTCCTTTCTTAAACTTAGGGAACACAGGGTTGGGTTAGGAGCACCTGAATCAGTTAAGAAATTTGCTACTTCCCAGTGGGAAAGAGAGCACTGAATAGAGAGCTCTGAAATATGTGTGTATATTTATGTGCATGTTTGGGGGTATATATTTTTAATCAGTTTTTCTGTGCTGAGATGGCCAGCAAGATACTGCTGTTTTTCCTGTGACTTGGATGGTTTCTTTCAAATAATTTTTAAGAATTGTTTTCCTTATTAAATTATCCTCATTATACATTCATATTTCATGCTGATAGTCCTTTTTACATCTTTTTGTCTGCATACAGAATAGGCCCAGACATTGTAGAGCTGGCTGGTGATTTAATTCCTGCTTATCATGAAAAGGGATTTGGGGGAGAATAGGGATTAGGGGGAGAATAAGATGCTGTTTCATAGATGGAGGCTCAGACCTGACCCCAAGTGGCCGTACTGATAGGAAGGTGAGAAATGGCTGGGTATGTTCCATCTGTAGACATAGTATTCCTAACCATCATATTTCTTGGATTAGAAGATGCTCATTTTATGTTACCTGAAATCTGCATGCATCTTACTGCACTTGTGTGCATTTATTAGGTTAGTACTGCAGTCAACAGTGGTCTTATAATTAAAAGTGTGAGAAATCCTGTAGAATCCCCTTAGCTTGTCATTGAGTTTTGGATATTTAATGCAATTAGAACATTCTAGAATTATGGATCTCAACCACAATTTCAGTCTGCATAGTGCTATCTTTCTTTTTCATCCTCACCCAAGGATATATTAATTCATTCCAGTCAGCGGGAGGGAGGTACAGAGACAGAAACATAGACTGGTTGCCTCCCAAATGTGCCCTGACGGGACTGAACCTGAAACCTAAGCAGATGCCTTGACCAGGAACTGAACCCATGACCCTCCAGTTTACGGGACAACACTCCAACCAACTGAGCCACACTGGCCTGAGCTGCATAGTACTATCTTGATTTAGACAAAGCAGGAAGTTATAAAAGTATTTATTTTCATACCAGTGACTCAGGTGACTGCCTCATAAATAGATAACACCAAAAACATGAAAAATATGCAAAGTAGGATCTGTGCATGGCTGATTCCATTTTAAAAATCTCAATTTTGGTTCAAAGGCACCATCGCTTTGGGAAAACTAGTCGTGTGCAGTGACATTTTTCTACCTCACAGGCTAAAGGATATTTTACTAGGCCAAAAAACCTGAACGGTGTTTATGGGCACTTCCTCACAAGGCGGGGTGGGGTGGGGAGAATCGCAAGAGAAACTATTATTTGAAGCTCCGACCCATAGAGAATGGAGGCGTGAGGGGGAGCCGTGATGTGGAAAGATGTATTGCCGGACTAGATGGCCTGTATCTTGCCTGCATTTGGTTTGGGCCTCCTGTCAAACTTTTGAGTTTTGTTGTCACAGCAGCTTTGTTTTCTGGGGTATAACACCTGTTTCATCCAGAAAGTATCCCCCTCTCCCCTAAGCCCACCCCTGCAGGCCAGGCTGTAAAGCCTTCACAGCTGACTTCCCTATGTGTGTTTGAGTCCATGGTGTTTTGCTGCTTTTCTCATGCCTTTTCTTTATGATGTTTCAGCTCATCCACCATACACCATGTGCTTTAGAGTGAAATTCTACCCACATGAACCCCTGAAGATTAAAGAAGAGCTCACAAGGTATCTTTCATTTGTTTTATATTTAATGTGCCCCCTTAACCAGCTAGGGCCTGTGAGTCTTGCAGAGTAGACGTGCCTCCTGTCTGGAGCTGAACATCTCTAGGAAGCGGGTGCTCAGCTCAGCATTCAGACTTGGAAGGTTTCTCTTGCACTAAATTGTCTCAGGATTTTTCAAACACTCGTCACTGGGAGTGTAATTAACTGCGCAAAACAGTAGTAGTTATAAGGAGGAAGTGCTCTCTGAAAACATCTGATAGTGGGGCGCTAAAAATAAATAGAAGATGACTGTCTCTAGGATATGGATAAATTCATAGGGAGAGAAGCCCCGGGGCCGATCTTCTGGATCTAGGCTTTTCTAGGAGGGAAAAGATCACTTGAAACAGGTCAAAAGAAACAGTAGAATGGACTGTTTGTCATCCTGCATTCCACTTGCTAAATGACTGACGGTGAAGCCAGCTTCCCTTCTCTTTGTAGACTCTTCTCAGCCCAACTCTCTGAATTTTCCAGTTCTCAGGCTTCCCCATTTCTTGTCTCCCCCTGGTGGGCCACATTCAGTCCACGTTCTGGGGGTTTTACTTCCACGAACAGCCTCGGCCAGCGCAGCTGAGCAGGGTCCTGGAAGGGCTAATTCGGTGGATGGGGAAGAGCGATGCTGTGCTTAGCTCTTGGTGAAGCTCTGATCTGGTGACTGCAAATCTCATTCTGTACAATCATCTCTCAAAATAACCCACATAGGTCCGAATGCAACAGAGAAGCAAGTACAGTTCACTGATCATCATTTGCAGGGGGGCATGCTAGGTTCTTGGATATTTTTTGCCTTCTCATTATCTGTGAATGTCTGGTAAAGTTTGACCACAATGTCACTGAGGTGACGTTGGAAGGGAGAAGATAGCTCCATTCTGTTATGAATTTGTGTAGAGCCATTTAGTGAGGTCTGTGCTTGGGGGCGGGGCTGGGTATAGGTGTGGAAAGGAGAAACACCTAAATAATGGCCATTGTAAGCGGCAGTTAGTATTTTGCAATCTGGCCTGCTGTGTTTTTAAAAATTGATGTAAAACTCACATAATGTAAATTAATTTCATCATTTCAAAGTGTACAACTCATTGGCATGAAGTACATTCACAATGTTAGGCAACCACCACCACTACCAAGTTCCAGAGCATTTATTTTCTCATCACCTCAGAAGGAAGCACTGTACCTATTAGCAGTTGCCACTTAGTCTTCTCTCTCCCAGCCCCTGGCAACCACTGATCTACTTTCTGCCTTTATGAATTTACATGTTCTGAACTTTTCATATAAATGGAATTATACAATATTTAGCTTGCTGATGGCTCAGCAACTTATTCATTTATTTGGTAAGTAGTTCTTCAGTTCCTGCTCTCTGCATAGCCCAGGGTGCAGAGACTGTTTGAGTTACAACCCCCGCCTCCCCCCCGCCAAAAAAAAAAAAAAAAGAGAGAGAGAGGGAGATTTGTCTTGCTGTCTGGGTCGTGCTAACAGTATAATTAGGGAGATCTACCAGGGGCCAAAATAGCTCACTTTTGTCATTTGTTTTCTTTATATTCTTGTCTGGAGGAGAAAAAGTGGTATGTATCATAACATAAATTAACAATAGATCTTTTGTTGTTGAGAAAAATCCCATTTGGTAGTAAAAGAGAAGAAAGTTTTAGCTAATTACCCTAGTTAAATCCCACTCAAATTAATTTGCTAGTGTTTGCATGTGTTGCACTAAATAACTAAGGTATGAGTAGTGGAAGTTGTTAACATTTTTATGTCTCTGAAGGAAATTAAGACAATGCTCAGTCCTTGAACAGTAGAGGTGGACTTCTCTTAGTCAGTGCAGTCCTTAGCCTTCAAAACCAGTTTAAAAACTGTGGAATGCCCCACGTGCTTATGGCTTAAGCCCTTTCTCGAAAGAGTTTAGTTTCTCTAGTATGAAAATTATTTTATTGTAAGGTTAACCTAAAATTTAAGATGAATTTACTATATGAGAAGTTAAGATCACATTCATGACCATGGTTAGGGGTAAAGAAACATTGAGAAAAAGGGCAGGTTTAAAGTAGGGAAACAACAAAAAATACTTACTAAAAAGGATATTGGAAATCGTTTTTTATCCTTCATTATCTGTCCATTTATGCCATCATCTTACAATCCTTTTTTTTTTTTTGAAATGCTGTAGAGTATGTGATTACATTTAATCAAAGTATGTTGGTTTTAATTTTTTAGTCAGTACCATGTTTAAATTCCAGCCAGGGAGAGAAACAGTATCATCAATGGTGGGCACAGTGATGTAAGCTCCAGGTCCTTTTGTTGCATGATCCTTTCATGCAGCTATGATACTAAAGGGAGATGCATCATCATTATTTTTTAGTGGCTATTGTATTAAAAAAAAAAATGAGTACCTGAACCTGAAGCCATTTTTAAGGCTCAGAGGATGATGTTGAATCCACAGTAATCCATGGTTATCTCTGGCAATCCCTGAAATGAGCAAGGACCCAGGCACGTTTGGATGCTAGGAAAGCTGGTTTTTTCCTTTCTCAGGAATCTCTTGTCAAACTTGATTTCTGATTTATGGGATTAAAACCCAAACCTCTCATTTATCAGTAAATAGTTATTTGAAACTTTTTATTTATTTATTTTTTTACTCTTAGACTCATCAAAGAGTGGAAAGGAATGCTTGCTGTTCAATGAATACATTTAGCAAGTAGAAAAGAACCATCATGGCATTCGGCCTGGTAGTTTACATTCATTAAAAAAAGAAAGATTTTATCATTTCAAGTATTGTGTGACCTTTTTGCAAAGTGAGATCTCCGCACCAGCAGCATCAGTGCCACCTGAGTATTTGGCCCCTGCCTTTGACCTGGGATGGGGCCCAGCCACCTGTATTTCCATAAGCCCTCCAGATAATTTTAAAGCATGTCAAAACTTGGGAACCACTATTCTAAGTCAATTTGGGTTTTCTAAAGTATTCATTTCTTTTGGCAAGTATTAGAGTATACACTCAAATGTGTTTAGTATGGTCACAAGGTTATGCCATATCACCACGATCTAATTCCAAAACATTTTTATCACTCCAGTGGGAAAACCCATACCCAAGCCATCGTTCCCTGTCAGCCACTCGTCTGCTTTTTGTCTCTATAGATTTGCCCATTCTGGACATTTCATATAAGTAGAATCATGTAAGATGTGGTGTTTCATGACTGGCTTCTTTTAACCTAATGCAATGTTTCCCAGGTTCACGCATGCTGTAGCACGGGTCAGTACTTCGCTCCTTTTATAGCTGGAAAACATTCCATCGCATTCACATTTCTTTTATTCTTTCATCAGTTGGTAGTCATTGGGTTTTTTCCTTTTAGCTACTCTGAATAATGCTGCTGTGAACATTCATGAACACTTTTTGTGAGGATCCAGATTCTGATTTAATTGGGTCTGGGGTAGGGCCCATAGCGAAGGCGTTTCTCAGAAGCTCCCTCAGGTCATTCTAATGTGCAGTCAGGGCTGACAACCTCCAGCTTAGAACCTTATTACTCAAAGTGTGGTCCAGGGATCTTCAGCCCAGCATCACCAGGGAACTTATTAGAAATACGATTCTTGGGCTCCACCCAGATCTATGAATCAGAGGTCAGAGTCTAACAAGACCTCCAGGTGATGTGTGCGCTCATTAAAATGTGAGAAGCACTGATTCCCGGAGCTACTCGGGGTCTTTGCCTACCAAGTGTAACGTGGTTCCTCTGACTAAATGCATGCCAAACTCTGAAAAAGGAATTTATTAGGGACTGCCTTCATCTGCTGCACGCACACCATACAAAACTGGGGACAGAGAGTCTCATTTCAACCTCCACTGTGTCCCCAGGACCCAGCACAGTTCTCAGCACAAAAGCAGGTGTGGGGTAAAGACTTGTCACATGGAAACAGCAGTGAGCCACTGAACACGTCAGTGTGTCCATTGTGCTTTCAGGGACCCAGCACCCAGAAACTGTAAGCTCTGCTGGAAGCAGCTGTGTGATTTTAACATGTTCATCACCCCTCTGAGCCTCAATTTCTTGGTCCTTAAAATGGGGTTGTGCATGTGATGAATCACAGGCTGAGTATCTGACCTCTGGAAGTGGTAACTGAGACTGCCTGAGTGTTGTCCTGTCCTGTCCCAAGTGAAAAGATTGGTCTCTGAGTTAACTCTTAAAATAACCCCAGAAAGAATCTGCGCACGTCTGCAACGTTACTTTAGGCAGAAAAAACAGACCTGGGCCTGAGTCTGGAATGAAGGAATCAACCTGACTTAGAAAGGCCAGGAAGTCTGCAGAGGGCCTGGCCGTCAGGGAGGGAAGAGGGACAGACGGAACGAGCCTGGGCCAGAGCTCACACGCCAGCGTGTCCTTCTCCCCTGGCTGAATTCGGTGCACATGTATTTTTTTGTTTGGTGCTATAGCGTTTTTAAAAACAGAATTCGTTGCAGCATTAAAAATTCACAGGATTTTACTTAGTGAAAGAAATTCTAAGCCTAAAGAAAGATATAAAGAGTTTATTGTGAGCCAAGGTTTTGGGAGTTAGTCCCAGAAGCAGAATCTCAAGGGATTGAGATAATGCTCCAGAGAACAGCCGCTTTGCAGTTTATTTTATTCATTAGAATCAAAGGAGAAGACGTAGGGAAGGTTTACACGAAATCCACTGGTGGCAGGTTAAGGAGGTGGAAGAAAACAAAGCAGGGAAATCACTAGGATTGGATAAAAAGTGAAAGGGAGAGATACATGTTTCTTTTACGTTGCTTGATGCAGGACAGTCAACATGTAACATACATTGTTTACAGAGGTATGTGGGTAAAAATAATAATGAGGCATGTTCGGCTTGTCTCACCCCTTATTGGGTGATTATCTTTGGAAGCCTGGAGAAGAGATCACTCTGATGTTTTAAGTATGTTTTTCTCGATGAAAAAAAAGCAATGGACAGGGCTTGCTTAAGGTAGAGATTAATCCACCATATAGGCCTCAGAATGTGACCTCCCTCCATAACCCGTAAATTTCAGTTAGGAATTTCTTATAATCAGATCATCCGGCATGGTTACTTTCAGTCACTGAGTTGTCACGCTTGCTGAGGTGGCACCTTTTTGTTCACAGTGTCTAAGTGCAGGCTGCTTGATTTTCTGAAAAAGCTGGGTGCGTTTGGCCTGGTTTTCTATGTGGTGGCATCGGACTGGAGCTGCATGGGGTCCGACCCTTCATGGGGTCCATTCTGCTTCCCTGGCCCTGTCTGTCACTCATGATCAGGTTTGCCTGGCTCTGTAGGCACCTGAATTTGCTGTCCCTATGGTGGGGAGAGGACACTAAATAGATGGAAGCTCTAGTTATGGGGAAATTGGCTTTTAGGCCTCATAACAAAGTCATTTTGAGATTGATTAATGTGGGCCTGTACCCTGGAGTCTAGTCTCTGTATACTGATTGAATCCATTTCCTGACTCTTTCCCACAGAACTTGGGAAGCAGGTGCGGGTGGTGGCGAGAGTGGCTGTGGTGGGCGTCATGTGGGAGGGACTTCCTGCCAGGATCAGTGGCTGCGGGCCTTATGGCTTTCCTTGGTCCTTCTCCTGTCTATTTGAAAAGAGCCAGCCTCACAGCTTTGGAAGCTGACACAGACACTTCAGATTTCCTGAATTCAGGCCCTCTGTGGGGGCTTGGTATGTCTTGGAGACTCCTTGGAGCGAGGTAGCGCTCCAGCGATACGGGTGGATACAGCATAAACCATCCTTCTGCCTCTCCTGGGCCTTCACCAAAACTTTGGGTGACTTTCTCCTTTTGTATTGCAGGTACCTTTTGTACCTGCAGATTAAAAGAGATATTTTCCATGGTCGACTGCTCTGCTCCTTCTCTGATGCTGCCTACCTGGGTGCCTGTATTGTTCAAGGTGAGTTAAACTGGACTCTAAAGTTTTGGCTGCTCAGAGCTCCCCTCCTGCCCCACCCATACCCACCCTGCTCATGTCCATGGTTGGAGGCCAGGCAGGGCTGGATTCTCAGCAACAGAGCCCATGGTTATCTTCCCTCTCAAGGCAGCGAGGTCCTGCGGTGGTCACAAAGGCCTCTGCAAAAACAAAGGGTTCTCAAAACCCTGTGGTGGAGCTCAGAATGCGCAGCTTTAGGAGAAGCTCTGAAGGGTTGTGGGGTGTTCTGTGCTCTGAGCTCCAGCTGCCAGCTGTGGGGCCTCATGGACACACTGAGGGGGGAAACTATGTCCAGGAATGTAGATGTAAATTCAAACATTTGATGTCAAAACACATATATATTTATTTGTGTGGGTACATGTCCACTGTATCTAATCCTTCAGCTTTCCTAGTCATGTAGGGTGGTAAGGAGAGCATTAGGCTCACGGTCTGTTGTATGAATCAGGTGTTCTCTTCCCGTGGGGTCAGTTGGGAGGCTGCTGGCACAGGGGATGTTTAGAAGGACCCAGGTGAGGCAGCCATTTGTAGCATGAATGCTAATGACATGTTTATGAGAGAAGGCAAGGGGAGGGAGGGGAGTTAGGAGAAGAGAGAATGGAAAGAGGGAGAGAGAGAGAGAGAGAGAGAGAGAGAGAGAAAGTAACAAGAACCAAGTGAGCATGTCACCCTTATAAAGAATCTGGAATGATGACAATCATCTTCTGATCACAATTCCAAGCTCCATTCAGAGAGAGAGAGAGAGAGAGAGAGAGAGAGAGAGCCCGAGAGCGCCCTCATTGTGCAGGGGGTGTGATAGGCAGACCTGGCCCTACAGAATGCTCTGTGCTGTGAAATAATTCTGGGGAGGACCCTGTATCCAGGTGTGTGCTCTCTGAGAATTCTAAAGAATGTGTCTGTGTTGATTTTCCCCTTCCCCTGGGAGCACATTAGCGCCGCATAGCAGATTTTGGCAGAAGTGCTGAAACCCTTGGAGACACACTCACCTTTAAATTCAGAACGACAGTGACACCAAGATGGGAAAGGTCCTTCCATCTGCCTGGAGGTGGAACATGTGCTTCTGAAAGCTGCCTTTCTCACATCAGAGTAAAGGGAGGTGGAAACCCCATAGTTCTCCCTTTTTCATGTGAAGACAGCAAGTTCCTACCTAGTTAGGGGGAGCTGTCTTTGTAGGCAAAAGTGGATCAATGCTAATTCAAACAGCAACCCCACATGGGAGGATTTCAGAACGCCTTTAGGCATTCATGAATGATGGTCAATTCTCCAGGGGTAAGCTCAATATGGATCTCTAATGGGAAACTCTCCATCCTGTTTTGTGTCTGAAATAAAGCCACAGAGGCTCCATCCAGAGGTCCAGACTGATGGGGGCCCTATGTGATGCGATGTTGCCGTTCTTGCTGATCACACGCACAGATGCTGTGGAGACAGTGGAGTTGCAAATGGACTAGTGACCTTACAGGGTTCTTTCACCTCAAAAAAATGCAGTGTTGTCCATGGGCCGTTTGTAGCAAATCCAGTAAAAGCAGATCCAGTGAATCGCCTCTGATGCTGAGGCGATTCATCAGCAGCTCTAGAGATCATTACAGAAGCAGATAAAGATCTGCGTTGTAGGAACTGCTCTTTGAGGGAGCTTTTTCAGCTTCCATATATTCTGAGGGTATAAAAAACAGGCAGCCGCCTCGAGTTTTGCCACTTGTACATACTGAACACACGACTATATTCGGTATATGCCATGCCTTTTCTAAGTACAAATTGCAAAACAAATACACAGGACCCTTAGGGTCTGTTGTTATCTTTTTTTTTTTTTTTTTTTTTTTAGTAAAAATAGCTTTCCTGGTCTTTCTATAAAAGAGCAACAGGGTGGGATTCTTGTTCTCATCTCCTCTGCCTTTTATGTTCAACCCCTATAGCTCTGTGGCTCCTACAAGATATTCAGAACTCAGTTCAGAGGTCACTTCCTCTGAGAGGCCTTTCTGGACTACTTCCTGGACTAGTCTCCCTCCTGCACATCATCCCATCATTCTTTCTCACAACCGTTGTGTTGTCTTTTAAGCACTTAGGTCTATAAAGACCTTTTTGAGTTGTTGTTTGGGTTTATTATGCATCCCCATCCCACCCCCATCATGTAGAACATAAATTCCATGGAAAGTGGGTCTCTGGGTGGCTCTTTCACTGTAATACCCTTGTGCTGGGCATAAGTTCTCCACTACATGTGCTAAGTGAACCAGGACACTTGCCTAGTTTCATCAATGTATGTTTTAGTTCCATACTTGGGAAAGAGTGGTTGGTTCGCTACCTCACTCACTTATATTTGTGCTCCAAGCATATTTATCCAACATCTGCTAGGTGGCAGGCACAGTAATAGAAGGTCCCTGGGGGTGGGGTCGGGGAGACAGACAAGTAGATAGAAGTTGAGACATGTTAATGGATAAATAGAGAGAGACACGCCTCCCTGCTGTGACCTCCAGAGGGCCCCTGGTCTGGCAAGGGCAGTCAGGGGGAGCTTCTGACGAAGTTGGCTCTGAAGCCATAACGTCCTGTATGGCTTCAAGTTCTCAAGTTCTTTCCCACGTGTCCTCTGCCTGCTCGGGGAAATGCCATCACTAGGCTTGACCTTTCTGTTTGCCATCACCCGATTGTGCTCATCCATTAGCTCCAGCTCTTGGGGATTTCCTGACAGTTAGAAATGTGCTAGGACCTGTTTCACCTCACAAGCCATCCAGCGTGTTGGAAGCCATTTGTCACAACTTGACCCTCATGTCATGTGTAGAAAAGAGAATCACAAGCCACTTACCCAACTCCTCTTGGTAGGGAAAACAAAATTTGAAGAGTTAGAAATCCTCAGTCATTTATAAACCGCCTTTTGCTCCAGGTGAAGTCAGAGTTATAGACAAGCTTTCAGGAACAAGAAAGCAGGGCCTGTGATGGGGGAGGTGCTGGCATTTACCTGGTCAGCAACGTTATGCAGGTGCCATGGCATTTCTTCTCTCAGTTTTTGGGCATATTCCAGGCTACTTTTTTACAGTGTTGAGCAGTACAAGTCCATCATTTCTCACAAGTTTTCCTGTAAAGAGAAGAGTCCCTCACAAACAAAGCATTTCCCCACCAACCACTACGCAAGCTGACATTTGCATTGCAGATGGGCCAGTTTCATAGTGGTGGTCCCGTCCCTGTGGAAAATGGAAGCATTGGGTTATACCAGCTCCTACATTGTAGGTCCATAGCCAGCTCACAGAGGGTGTGTGTGTGTTCTGAAATTTATGTTGGGTTAATCATCAGTTTATTACCTATTCTTATCATTGATCCCTTTGGCCCTTTTATGGATTGATTGAGTGATTTTCCTCTTATTATTATTCTCTATTTCCATTCCTAAAGGCAACAGCTGGGTTCACTCATATCTTTGATTTTGCATACATCCATATAAAATGATTAGTATTGTTTAGTGTGTGTGTACACTTTTAAGTTTTATAAGTTAAATGAGACTGTAGAACTCATTCTTTTTGATGCCCAGAACACTCTTTTGGGGATCTTTTATGTTGCTGAGTATACATCTATTTTGTTGCTTTTAACTGCTAGAGAGTATCCAGAAGTGTATATTGTCCATATGTCATTTATTGCTTCTACTAACAACGAACGCTCCAAGTTGCCTTCATACTTTTTTTTGCACCCAGAGCTTTTCTAGAATGTGTACCCAGAAATGGGATTGCTGGGTCTTAAATTTGACTAAATACTCCCAGCTCTTTTCTGTAAGAGCTACTTGCATCAAAAATCCTCCACAAATGTACAAGTATTTCCATTTCCTCATGTCTCTGCCAACATGTAAAATCACCTGACTTCCTCAACTTTTTGTTAATCTCATAGGCCTAGTTGTTGTGGTTTGCAAAGCTCTGATGATGGATGAGTCTGAACATCTCTCCATACACTAGACCATTGGGTTTCCCCTTTTGTGAACTGGCTGTTTATATTCTTTGACCAATTTCCTGTTGGTCTTCTTGCCTCTTTTCTTATTGATTTGTAGGGGTTTCTTGTTTATTTTAGCTGTTGGCCCTTGTTAGCTTTAAATTTTGCAAATATATTCTTTTGACTTATTATTTGGACTGTGATGTTCTTTAATGAATAGAAATATTTAAATTTTGATATGATCAAATTAATTAGTTTCCCCACCCAGGGTTAATAGTAATTTGTGTCTTTTAAAAATTCTTCTTCATGTGGTATATATTTTAGGTTGCTTTAAGAAATCTGTAATTTGAATTCTATTAAGAAGCTTTAAGGAGCTTAGCTTTCTTCCCAGTTTTGTCCTTTTACAGTCAGATGATTCAACAATGAAGGGACAGCAGGATACAAATTACATAGCTGTATGTGATTTTGCAGATGTGATCAAGGCATCTTGATTTTTTTTTTTTAATCTACTTTAAAGTCATGTTAGTGATCAGGTTTTTCTAATATAATTTTCCCACCATCTTTGATCTGCAGTCTGGGCTATTTCTACCCCAGATACTTGCCCCTTTCTGGCCCATTTTCCTTACCAAGCTCATGGAATCCAGTGGACTATATTCTGACTGCCAGAGCATCGCCTTTGCTTTTCCAGGCTGTGGTCCATGCACATCTAGGTCCATCCTCTTCTAGGCCCTCTGGGTGTTCAGAGATGTCCATGCACTTTTTTTTTTTTAACACTTGAAGGTCCTCTGGAGGTGCCCTATGTTAGAACCCAGCAACAACTTTAATCTGGTATGCTTGTCTACACTTTGATACACACTCTTTAATTTGAAGAGCAATCCATTTATTTTTAAGTGGAATCCTCTTGGGCGCCTTCATGTTGTGATTTTTCATTGAGTAAGCCACACCTACACAAATCTCAGAGCAGGCAGCTCCAGGCAGGGAACTCCTAGACTCAGAGAAAATTAGCTGTGAAAGAAACCGTGAGAGATGGTCAGTGATTTCCACTTAGCGGGGGTGTGTACCACCTCCTATCCTGGGGAGTGTTTGGGAATATTGGGGGGAGGATTTTCCGTCATCACAACGACTGAGTGTGCCCCAAGCACTTTGCACCTGAGGAGTAGGGGTGCTAAACGTCCTACTGTGCCTGCGAAGGCCTGAAACAATGAAGAATTGTTCGACCCCAGGAGTGCCCCATTGAAAAATAATGACTGAAATCCCTTTTATTGTATAGATGAAGAAATGAGACTCAGAGAGGTTGGCAAGTGCCCAAGCTCACACAGCTGCATCTGAACTAGAACAGAAGCTTCTAGACACTCAGGCTGTGGTCTTTCTGTGGACACAAGTACCTTCCCTTGGGTGAGCTTATTCCAAGCTCTTCTTTTGGGTGGCAGGAGCCATTCCAGTGCACCCTGTTGTTGTTTTTTAATCCTTCTTTCTGTCTCTCTTTATTTTTTTTTTTACTGCTTGCAGCTGAGCTCGGTGATTACGATCCTGATGAGCATCCTGAGAATTACATCAGTGAGTTTGAGATTTTCCCTAAGCAGTCACAGAAGCTGGAAAGAAAAATAGCAGAAATTCATAAAAACGAACTCAGGTAATAGGGGTAGAAATCTGTAAGAACGGTAGAGGTGCGGAAGTGCTCTTACCCTGGGGAGTGTGGAAACCGTGTTGTGAAGTGAGGACGTTTGTTAAAGTGTGTGCAGAGCATCCCAGGTTCAGGGCCGTATTTCTGGGCCCTGCGAGGTCCTCCATTAACAACAGTCGCCATAGTGTGGGGTCCCCTGGGTGGCTGTTGATGAACCATCAGCGGTTATCAGAGCTATATATTTTCTTGGGGGTTTTAACCACCCTGAGTTTCTGAAAGTGCAATGTAGGGTAAATAAGTATCCTTTCCACTCTGAAGTTTTTGCACTACCTCTTCCCCTCCCGGGGCCGCTGCTGGAAGCTTGGACTCCCATGTGGAGGAGAATCCCCAGACAGGGTCTCTGTTGCTGAGCTGCTTTCAGGGAGACAGACTCAGCACCTTCTCTTTTCCTTGTCTGGGATGCTCCAGGACAGTTGCTAACTAGAGTAGTGATGGCAGGAGTAGCAAAAGCACATCCGGTATCCACTGTGTCCCTGTTACTCCTCTGATTGCTTGCGTACGTTGACTCATTTAATCTTCATGACAGCCTAGAAGGTAGGTGCCATGGCTATTCCCATTTTACAGATGAGGGAGCTGAGGCACAGAGAGATTAAGTATCTTCCTCAAAATTACACAGCTAGCATGTGGCAGAGTCAGGGTTTGAATCCAGGTAGCCTGGCTCTGGAGTCTCCGCCCTTAAGCAGTGTGTGACACTTGCGCTTTGCATGGGCTACCTGGAATGAAATGAGGCATATGTAGAAATCATCAGCGGTTTGGAATTCAGGTAACGCAGGTCTTATAGCCTATAACTAGAATTTAGATCTGTGCAAATCACAGAAAAATTCATTATAATAAACAGCAATCTTGGGCAGCGCTATGACAAGTATTGATGAAGAATTGCAAGAGCTAAGAGGCCTCTATCTGTGCATCTGGCAAGCATAAAAAAAATTAGCATCACTGGTTTATGAATTCTGGAAGAAATTACTGTCCCCTGGTGAGGGAGTGCTAGAGCTCCCTACTTTATGCAGGCACTCCCCCTTCTGGTGAGTCTGAGAAGAGCACATATGTGGGCATTAAAGGTGGCAGCATATTTCAGCTTGGAGAAAAGTGACCTTTGTTCTTAAAGATAAAGATGTTTAGACATCAAAAAATTATACCAGTTGCAGAAAGCAACATGCCATCTCTATGGATAATTTTAGAGTATTGTCTTCTCATGAAAAGCTTTGTTGAGAACATATGACACTCCAGCTACTCTTTTTACATTTTGGGGACAAGCATGCTCAAAGTAAAAGTAAATTTCCAATATCCACTTGAAGGGTATGTGGGTCAGCAGTGTCTGGAGAGTACAAGGTGAGACCCTTTGAAGAAAGGAGTCACATCCAGTGTGTGGATTGGTAGGAGATTGGAATTGAAAGGTCTGTTGTGATCAGAATTTGGAGGGCCTCCAATGCTCAAAATGTATGATAATACGCATTTATTGAGCACTTACTGGATGACAAAACACCAGGCTGAGTCTTATGGGTATTGTCCCATGCAGTCTTCCCCAGCTCTAGGAGGTAGGTGCTATTGTCATTTCCGGTCCAAGGTGATGAGAGCACAACCTGGAATGTCTAAAGGACTCGCCTTGCTGGTAGTAGAGTGAGGACTTGAGCCCTGGTCTTATCTGAAACTAAGATACGTGCTCTTAACCCCTGTGCTGAGCAGCCGCAAGGCAGTCGTGCTGGTTTTCCCTGGCGATCCCCAGGGCCATGGTGTCAGAGGGTGGAGACCAGGGATGGGAGGACTGGGTAGTTATTTCTGCCGTCCAGACAAGAGATGCCATGGACCTGACCAAGAACTTTGACCACAGAGTAGAGAACTTTGAAAGAAGAGTCTGGAGGGACAGCGAAGCAAGACTTAGTGACCCACTGGGCTAAATGAGTGAATCAAGATTCCTGATGGGTTTTTTTAAATAATCAAAAAGCTGTAGATTGGCCCTTGTGTCACCACCTGAATTTGCTGACAACCCTGAGAGTGGTCATCATGCACCGAAGGAGCAGAGGAGGTCACCAGTCAACCATGGTTTAATAGATCTTGGAAGTAAATGCCATGACTGGACTAAAACTGCTGTTCTGTGTTACCACGCATTGTCACATCCATGTGTGAACCCTTGTAAAATAGTCAAAGTTGCATGTATAAAGGATGAAACAGCTAGAATCAGGTGACATCGCAAGGAGAACTGCAGCGGGTATTTTCCTATGTATTTTTGCGGCCCCTCAGGTAGTGATGGGTTTCCTGCGGCTTCAGTGCAGCAGAGAGATTTTAGGTTTGGATGGAAAGAGCAGAACAAGCTGAGGGTGCCGTGGGAGGGGGGTGGGGGGTGCTTTCTAGAATCAGTTGGAACCCTGCTATAGACTCAGGTTACTCTGGGGATTCAGTGAGCCCTTTGCATACAAGTCGTGAAAATGTTGATCTCGTGTGGGAATTGCATTGCTCTGCAAGCCTGACCATGTCAGGAAGGAGTTTTAAATGGAAGAGATCATTCTGAGAGGCTGCATCAAGGTGTTGCCATCTTACTCTCCAAGGTTGTCACGGTACCCATGATCCTCCTGCACAGCAAACAGCTAATCTGTGATCATTGATCTGTTGTTACGGGACTTCCTGGGAGAATTCCTGTTGGTTTTGTTGGGGTTTGAATGGCCCCCAAAATAATCTCCTGCTTTCTACATAATTTCTGAACCAGTTGAGAAAGAAAACAAAAGAGATGGTAATGGGGAAACTTGGACATTAGCAGAAATGGTGATGATGATTTACAATGAGACAAACATTTTTACCTGTGGGGTTTCACAAGATTCTCCAGCCTTTTAACATGATTAGAATCAGTTTCCTTCTGTGCTCTCCAAGGAGGGAATAAAAGCTGTGACCCTTGGGAGAAAATTAATCAGGGAGAAAGGAGAACCCTTACCCCTCCCCGGGAGGCTTCCCACTGCTTGAAGGTAGAACTACTATGGCTGATAGGCATGAACAAGAGACATTTTAGGGGAAGAAAGTGTGAAAAAGCGACTCCTTGGAATTTTCAGGTGCTTGAAAATAGATCAAGATTTTATTAAGAGTTTCCACGAACTAAGTGTTCAGACTTCTTTTATTTGTGAGTGAAGATTGAAATTCATGGCTGAGTCAATGTTGCTTCCTTAAATGTTCCACATCTTTGACTGAACAGGAGGGTAGGGTAGGGAGAAGTCACAGTTTTGCAAATATAATAACATAGTTTATTGATCATCTCTGTGTCTGTTAAGAAAAGCTAGATTTTGCCAAGGAAACACCCCCAAAATCTCAATGGTTTAGAACAAGAAAGGCTTATTTCTCACTCTGTGGTGGGTCCACCAGATGTCAGCATGGGTGGTGGGGTGAGGAGGGCTCGGCTCATCATTGTCAGCTGGGGCAACCCCAAGCTTGAATTTAGCAGTTGTTGAGCCAAAGGAAAAAGATCTTGAAGACGTTGCTTCAGCTTGGAAGTGATACATATTACTATGGCCATACCTAGTCACATGTTAGGGCCACGGTGCAAGGAACTGCAATTCTATGAAGTGTCCAGAAGGTGCAAGCTGGAAACAGCTTGTAAATAGCTCTTAATGGTTTCACAATATCAGTCACTAATAATTTTTTAAAGTAGGCTCTAATTTTCAGAGCAGTTTTAGATTCATAGCAAAAGTCAGTGGAAGGCACAGAGATTTCCCCCGTACCCTCTGCATAGCCTCCCCCAGTACCGCTGTTCCCCCACCAGAGTGGCACATTGGTTGCATTTGACGAACCTACGAGGATGACACATTATCACCCGCAGTTCATAGTTTACCTTAGAGTTCACCCTTGATGTTGTATATTCTGTGGGTTTGGACAATAGTATCCACTAACACAGTATCATACAGAATACTTTCACAGCTCTAAAAATCCTCTGCATTCTGCCTATTCATCCTCCACCCCACCCTCCCCCCCAACCCCTGGCAACCACTGATCTGCTTACTGTCTCCATAGTTTTGCCTTTTACAGAGTGTCATACAGTTGGGTCCATACAGCATGTAACCTTTTCAGATTGGCTTCTTTCACTATGTGTTTAAGGTTCCTACGTGTCCTTTTACTGATAGCTCATTTTATTGATGAATACTATTCCAGTGCCTGGATGTACCACAGTTTATCCATTCACCATACTGAAGGATATCTTAGTTGCTTCCAAATTTTGGCAATTATGAATGAAGCTGCTATAAACATGCATGTGTAGGCTTTTGTGTGGGCATATATTTTCCATTGCTTTGGGTAAATACCAGGGAGAGCAATTGCTGGATTCTGTGGTTAGAATATACTTAGTTTTGTAAGAAACTACCAAATTGTCTTATAAAATAGCTGTAGAATTTGGCATTCTCAGCAACAGTGAATAAGAGCTTCTATTGCTCCACATCTCTGTCAGCATTTGATGTTTTCAGTGCTCTAAATTTTGGCCATTCTAATAATGGTATAGCGAATACAGTATTATTTAGGAAGATTTTATAGAGACCTATTGATATCCTGTGAGCTAGGGATGAGCAGAGGTGTAATTCACATTATTGAATAGATGTCAGCGCTAAAATCCTCTGGGGCCGAATAATTCTTCTAGAACAGGGATGGTTAATGAGTTTTTTTGGGGGGGGGGGCGGTGCTTTCCAGGCTGTACAATCTCCGTTGCAGATACTCAGTAAGATTGTTTTCCTCTACCAGCTTTCGTAGAGCAAAAGAAGACATAGACAATACATAAATAAGTGGGCTGTCAAAACTTTATTGATAAAACAGATGGTGGGCCAGATTTTGCGCAGGGGTTCTAGTTTGTTGACTTTTTTTCTAAACATGTGGCAGAGCAGTTCTAGAATCAATTTCTGCTTTATTCTTCTGCCTCTATAGGTAATTTTAAGATAAGAACCATAGTTGTTTCTAAAACTATGTGTAAAAAAGAATCTCTTGCC